GGCGCCGCCGAGCCGAGCCGAGCCGAGCCCAGCCGAGCCGCACAGGCGCAGCCCAGCCTCCGCACCGAGAGAGAGGTACCCGCCCACGCGCGCGTGTGTGTGTGCGTATATGTGTGTGTGTGTGTGTGTGTGTGTGTGTCACGAGACACCTGCCTCCTCCCTCCCCTCCCCTTTGTGTGCATGTATACATATAGAGGTGTGTGTCGCAGACAAAGCTGGCCCCCGTGCCCCCTGCGGGGGTGCAGCGTCCAGCCCCCCGGCCACCAGACGCCGCCGTGAAGCTGCGAATCTGCTCCCTGCTTAACCCTGATAGAAATAAGGAAACCACTCATGAGATTATTGACCTTTTTGGCTGGGGATGGGTTGTTATTGTTGGTGCGTGTGTGCGTGTGCGTGTGTGTGTGTGTGTGTGAAAAGACGCGTCGTGCCATTTTGCCAAGCGGGTACAGGGCACGCGCCGTCTCCTCTTTATGTCGATACACGTCGGTGCGCACGTGGAGGGATGGATGGATGGATTTGGTTTTAATCGAAGAGTTTCTGGTGGACAAAGGTCGAGTTCACCGAAACGGCAAGGGTTTCGTTGCCGGGTCTCTTCTCTGCCGATTTTATAATAGGGTGCAAATTTATGCCGGCCGACAAGTAAGTGTTATAATAGTTTCGCCCCAAGTGCTAGTTTCTCTTCTCCTTCAACCGAGTTGCGCTGGGTCAGCTGAGACCAGAGTTTGCCCTGGAGGGACTGGGATGATGATAATAGGGCGCTGTCGTGACGACGGTCCATCTTAACGTAGCCCAAAATCTGCCGTTCTGACGCGGCTTGATCTTTCATCTCCTACTTCCAGGAACTCCATTAATAAAAGGAAAGCCCTTGATGTGCGCGCGTTCCTATTTCGTTCCCGATCTGCCATCAAGGCAAAGGTGGAGATGATCTCATCCCATCCTCGCCTCGCGTTTCGCGATGCCTGTCCAGGTTGAAAAGCAGAAATTACATGCATCGAATCGCACATGTTCACTTCCTGATCTGCCACAAACGCAAGTTTGAGGCCAGAACTCTGTCCTTACTTCACCCTGCTGATCCGAAGCTTACTTAATATGTAAGGGAGCGTACTTTTCTGAGAGTAAGCAGACAGGTCGAGTTAAGGACATAGTGCCTGCCTTGGTCCGTCGCAGCCTATTGTGTAAGAACGGTGTGTATTTTCAGACTTTTACACACTCTGTTTATTGACTTAGTGATAATACTTTGCTCTTATAGCCCTTTCTCTTTGAAAGTATTAGGCAAACTCAAGTTAAGGCTTTTACAGCATCCTGCTGTGGCTGGTGAGAGGTCTCCCTGTGTTTCAGTTGGAGAGATGGAGGCACTGAGGCAGGGATGCTCCCCAGTGGAGTTAGGATCATAGGTAGGACGGTAGCCCTTATTCTTTCCTTAGCCCACTAGATCAGCCACTCCCAAACTTTGCTGCCCCCCTCACAGCACCCATTTATACCCTGTCGCAGGGCATGTCTACACGTGCATATACAGTGCAGTAATTATTGCATGGGAGTAAAGTTACACCCAAGTCAGCCCACACAAACAGGGTTATTGTGCAGTAAGGCGTCCGTACTGCGCAGTAACTATTGGGAGTAAATTTGCTACCCGCATCATGCATGTAGCAAACTGACTCCCAAGTTGGCATAAGTTGCCATAATTACTGTGCCGTACAGGCGCGCACATGTAGACGTGTGCCCATACTGCGTTGTGATTTTCGGTTACTGTACAGTAACGGTGCAGGTGTAGACGCGCCCACCTTGAAGCAGTTACGGTAAAGTGACCCGGCAGACCATCATACTCACGCACTGTAGTTTAAGACTGGACAAAGATTTTTCCCCCTCCATTGATGTTGCCAGTCCAGGATGGAGCTGCTGGGGGATGTTAGCATTTTAATCTCTGAAGAACCATGCCTGCTGAAGGATAACACGGTACTGCAACGAGTTCATTATGGTACTGCTGAAATGCAGCCACCTCTGGGGAAGAAAATAACAATCAGCTTGCTTGGGATGGAGAAATCTGGAGGGACTTCCAGTTCGAAGAGTGTCATAGGACAGGGGTAGGTAACCTGCGGCACAGGTGCCAGTTCGGCACGCGAAGGCATTTTGTTTTGCACATGTACTTCGGGGCGGATGGTGGGGAAGGGGTCAGGGCTGTGATGCTGCACAAGGATCACGGCTCGCCTGCCGTCTGCCCCTGGCGTGCCAACATCTTACATGTCGAGGTTGCGGGTGTTTTTGGCACTCTACCCAAAAACGTTGCTGACCCCTGCCATAGGATCTCAGTAACGTCTGTGCTGGGCAGACAGGATGCCTGCTTTTCCCAGGCTCCTTGATAGGCCCTTCTGATTTTCAAGTGCATGCTTGGGATTTGTTCATTTGTCTAAGCAAGAGCCAGTGTTTTGGGACTAGCTGATGAGACAGTGTTTTGTCGTAACACGTTCCTGTCTGATGCAGACAGGGATGGCTTAGGAAGTTTGGAGGGGGTTTGCAAGATAACTTTTTGGTGTACGTAACTGAGTTGAACATTAAGAGTGCAAGGGGATCTTTTCACCCATCTTTACTGTCTGCTGCAAAAGGAGGGCCTGGTAACATGGGGTTTTTTTTTTCAGCTCTAGTAGTTGATTTATATCACTTTACATTTTCAAGATCAACTTGCTGAGAGAAAAAAAATCGCTGGAAACATATTTATTTATTTTTTAAATGAAAGCCTCCCTGCGCCTTCAGATTTCTAGTCGTCCCAAGCTCAGGAGCTTTGATCCCTGATTGTTAAAGCACCAAGTCAACCGTACATTGGCTGCTGTTGTGTGAATACTCATTATATCAAAATAAAACATAATTGCTTCTGTCCCGTGATCTGAGTGCCTTGTAACAGGCATTAAAAAGAATCTGCTATATTCACAAATGTAACAGCATCTCTTTGTCTGTGCAGCCACAATTAATCAGCCAGGACATGGATAAATGTAGTTATACCCTTGCCCATGGCCACAAATACCAATCCTTTTCGTGCTTTCCCTTTCCAAAAGGCAATGAAAATACAGGGAAATTAGCAGCTGTACAAATAATTGGCCTTCTTGGTTCTGCTGCCAAAGTTGGGGGGCTGGGAGGGACAATTTTTTTCTTCCTGACATGGATCTGGTAGAGAGTAGACCTGAACCTGGGTCGCCTTGCTTTGAAAGTTTAAGAGGTCCACGCAGAGGAAGCCAGCATGAAGAGGAGTGCCCGTTAGGTGGTGGGAGTGAAGAGATGTAGGTTCAGATCCTTTTAAATGAAGAAATTGAGTCCAGGTTTTTTTTCCCCCCAGTGCTTTTGGGTAAAACTAGATCTATTGCTTTGACTAACAACTGGCCGAATTTGCTGCCTAGGCAGCGCCCGGAAAAATGCTGCGGAAATACAAGGCGAAACATTTTGTTGTTTCCAAAACATTTCTTGCTTTTATTTTTTGCTGAAACAGCAAATTAAAATCCATTTTGTTTCCCCCTTTCCTGCTCTCTGACATTGTATCAGTGTTGGGTACCTCTCATTGAAACATTTGCTGTTAAGGAGTTCAGGTGTTTTCTATCTATTTTGGGGGGGAATATTTGACTCTACATAAAAGCAATACTTGAATTTTGAATAGCCAGCATGAAATGTCTTTACAGATTGCTGTTACTATGGTATTTCCTGCAACAAATTCCAGGAATACTGTAATTGGTAATGTGAACTACTTACAAGATAAGAGTTGGATGGCAAATCTTGCAGTATGGTGGCTTTGTTTGAAGCATGGGTCGACTCTAAAAAAAATGCCATTGTGGGACTGTCTGTGAATTTAAATTTCTCAGCAATGCCCTGCAGATGTGTAAACATGTTTTGGGAAGCCCCTGCGGTTCCTCAAATGGCCAAATCTCCAAGCTCAGCTAGGCTCCGAAAGCCAAACCTCAGCTCTTTGTATAACCCCTGATAAAGATTCAGCAGATTAAATAACTCCCGAGATCCCTTTCCCTTCAAGTGATCCATTCTGTAGAGGATCCGGCTTGTAGAATAGGATCCTTAGCTTGCTTAATGTTAGCTGCATTTTCTCTATGGGATCGACAGCACCAAAGCCGGCTTTTGGCAACAGAGGTTTATTGGATATGCTGGCGCCTCTTTGTTAACATAGTGTTTTTGAAAAATGGAGCATCTTCAATAAATTGTATTTAGTGTTTTCCCCACACCGTCAGTTCTCGATATGCCACAATTTTTTCTGTTGACAACCTAAATCCACATCGCAGGTGTTAGGGGAGAAGATATGGGCAGTGGTTTGGGTGTTTAGTGCCTGGGCGGGCATGGGATCCAGCTTTAAGATTGCAAAAGATAAGCACTTGAGCTGGGCATTTCTCTAAATTGATCAGCAGCAACGTCCTTAATGCCAGTTATTTTAAATGGGCCTCTTCAGGCTTAATCAACGAGCTGAACTGAGTAGTTCATTACTCTCCAGAGCCATTGTTTAAGGTTTTCGGCAGATCTCAAGAAGACAGAACTGCATTCATTGGGACTTGGACTCGTGCTTTCAAGGTTACTTTCAACACCGTGGACATGAGAAACTTTTTTTTTAATGCGTCCTTATGTTTTGCAACTTAGGAGAAATTCTGCAGCCACAGAGCTGCGGGCATACCCAAGGCCTTGGCTCTAGCAGATTTCTTCTTCGAGGATAGTTTCAACATCGCCCTCTGAGATACGCGTTATCTCCTTTTTGCAGATAGGGAAACTAAGGCAGAGAGTTGAAGGCCACATAAGTCACAGGCAGAACTGGGACTTACAGGCCAGATTTGCAGCTGTTCGGATCACTGCAGTTGCATTGATTTCAGCAGAGCAACACTGGTTTTTTGAATGCTAGACAATCAGCTGACCTCATGAATTCAAAATCAATCCTACGTTTAAGTCATTTTGCTAACTTTTTAAGGGTTTGCTTTAAAAATGTGGTGTCATGCTTGACATCCATGGCTTACAGAAGATTTCTCCTTCTTGGAGTTAAAAAATTGCAGAAGGAAAAACTACTTGAAACCCTGAAAATGGACAATATTCTTTTATTTTTC